GTACAGTTTCTGCATTTTCGAGTTTATTGCTAGCTTCTTGGGACCTAACAACTTGTCAATTTTAATAAATATTCCCAGGAAACTGGAAAAAAAGATATATTCTCTGAAGGGAACAAAATTCAGTCTCTCTCTATTAATTTGACCTTATTAATTATAATATTATGGACCATTAATTTTTACTTATTTGATCCATTAAAGACTAAGGAAAGTGTGTGAGTCTCCCACTATTGTTGAATTTCTGTTTCTCTTGTGTTTCTAACGGTTTTTGCTTTTTGTGTTTTAGTATGATGTTATTTGGCAAATTATCTTTTTATTATTTAAGGCAAAAATACGTCCCTTTGAAGACTTGTATACCTTTGTGAATTTTACCTGATTTTGTTGTAACAGTTGTTTATGTAGAAATACATAGTTCAGTAAAACGTTTGTGTCTGTTTTTAAGTCAACAAAAATCTTTCAGGATTTCAAAAATCCTTTGTGTCTTAAGAAGGTATTTTGGAAGCTCTTGATCTCCCCAAGGGTAGGTTGATGCTCTCTGGGGTTGCTTCCTGAGCCAAAGTAAGGATGGCAGTGTGGGTTGAGGTCTGTGTGCTTTTGGTGAAACAGAATGAGAGTTTTTTAGTATGCCAACATTTCCAGTTCCTGCTTTGGGGCAACCCCATGCTTGGGTATGCTTAGGGAACACCTGCCCTTCAGGTGGTGACATTTTGCCTTGATGGGGCCAATACCAGAGTTATTCTCAACCCAAGAGGCATGTTTCTTCTGCAGGTCTAATGTTCTGAGAGGAAGGCAGCAGAGTGTATGCTTGTGTTCCTGGCTGTTGTGGGGAAAGTTAATCTCAAAGACTCATTCTACGAGAAAAGATTTTTCCAGAGCTGTTTGGATACTCACATGACAAAGTTTGCGTCAGGCAGAGAACCAACTCTTCCCAAACACATATAGGAGGTGTGAATCTCAACCCACAGCTTAGGAGTGGAAGAAATAAGACCTTCTCTCTTTACCCCTCATTCAAGTTAATTTCTGTTTTGAGTCCCCATTCTACCGGGCCCATGCAATTTGGTCTTGGTCAATTCTGGGACCGCCTTCTCTCCAGTGTGAGTCTTCAGAGGTTCTGGGGGGGGCTTACATATCTTTCAAGGTTTTGGGAGGAGAGGTCTAGTGCCTGCTGAGGTGGGGAGATGATCCTGGATTATCTGGGAGGCGGGGGGCCCAGTCTAATCACATGAGTTCTTCAACACAGAGCACTTTCCTGGCTGGGATCAGAAGGAGACTTCTGTGGGAAGTCTCTGAGGTGTTCTGCCTGCTGAGGTGTTCTCTGTTCCTGCCCCTGCCCTGCTCTGTCTCCCACTCGGCTCCCTCTGTGTCCTGCTCGCGTGCTTGGGAGTACGAGAATTTCTCAGGTGTTCCTGTGCTCCGGAGGTCTCTCTGCGGCCGTCCTATTTGACAGCAAAGGTTTCAGATGGAGGGTGACTGAATTTGAAGGGACTGCTGGATAGGCCAGCTGCGTTGGCACAGGAGCTCACTGCTGAGTGGAAGGGGTTCTCTGGCCACCAATGCCTGCTTGTTTGCTGCAGGCCCTCAGCCACCTTGTGGGTTAGCCTGTGACCCTGCCCGCTGCTAGAGCCACCTCCCCGAGGGGCCTCCTCACACCACATCGGGTCCTGCCTTTTACCTCTCTAGGGCATTTGGCCAAGTTGACCTGGCTCTTGAAATAATCCTCCCAAGACTCCAAAGTTTTCCTTCCCAGTCCTGTCTTACTTCTGACTATCCCTCCTCCTTCCACTCCTCCTCCTGCTTTGGAGTGTTGGAATCTCCAAGGATCCGGCCTGGGCCACCTTCCCTTGACACTCTGTCCCCCAACTGTTTCAGGATCTCCATGGTTGATTCCATCCGCAGCCACCCATGCCCCCAGCTTGGGTCCCAATGCCCCTCCCCCCCAGTTCAGCTCCCATCCTCCAGTGCCGCCGCCCTCTCCTCTGCGCTGGCCCATCTTTGCTGCCTGTGCAGCAACTCGTGATGTTGGGGTCCTCTCTCGGGCTGTCCAGTCTCTTCAGCCCTGCCACACTCGGCAGACAGACCACCCCTGGCTGCTCCTGGCCTCCATTGTCCCGGAGCTCCTCCACCCTCTGGTTCCTCTTATGTGAAGCTGCCCAGAGGCCTCTTCCCAAGGCCGAGACCTCAGGTTCTAGCCGCCCCCCCACTCTCTCAAGGCCTCCCCTGCCCGGCCTTGCTGTTCTCCTCCTGTTCGTCCTCCCCTGGCTGGAACCCTTCCGCTCTGCCGGCCTGGGAACGCAAAGGTGAGAGTCCCAGAGCTTCCACAGGTGTGTACCTCCAGGGGCGAGGTGAGACGGTATGTTCCGGTGCTATCGGAACGCGGCTGATGGGGGGGGGTCTATGGGGCCCAGAATGGGGGCCGGAGCACAGCCAACTTCTTCACAACTGGGGGACCCCAGGCCACTCTGAAGATCCTCAGACCTGTGAGACGTTAGGCTTCAGGGCCCCTGCCCTGGGAAGGAGCCCGCAGTGACCCTAACTATGCCTGCCTCACGCTTCCCTCACCACAGCCCCGAGGCGGGAGTCTGCCTGTGTGTGCAGGCGGTCTTCGAAGGGGGGGTCTACCTGGCGTTTCCAGGCCATCCCAGAAAAACTTCCCCGATTAGCACCTCTGCAGACCGGGCCTGGCCGTGTGCATACCAGCAAGCTCCTTGTGCTGGACGGGACGGTGTCTCCCCAAAGCTGCCCACGTCCCAATCCCTGGAACCTGGGAATTCGTGACCTTATGTGGCAGCAGGAACCTTGCAGCTGTGACTCAGGTTGCAGAACTCCAGGTGGGGAGATGATCCTGGATTATCTGGGAGGCGGGGGGCCCAGTCTAATCACATGAGTTCTTCAACACAGAGCACTTCCCTGGCTGGGGTCAGAAGGAGACACGATGCTGGAAGGAGAGCCCGAGAGATGGGTGACCACTGGCTTCGGAGAGAAACAAAGACCCCCGCCAGTGAACGCAGGTGGCCTCTAGAAACGGGAAGGGGCAGGGAAACAGGCTCTCCTCTCGAGCCTCCGGAAAGGAACACGGCCCCACTGACACCCTGAGGTCAGCCCCATGGGGCCCGCGCAGACTTGGGACCTATAGAACGGTAAGACGACGATCTGTGGGACGTCTCTGGTTTGTGGCGGTTTGTTATGGCCGCAGCAGAAAACCAGTATGCTCCTCCCGGAGTTTACATACCTAAGACTCGCGAAGCTCCGCTGTGTAAGTTCTTTCGCCTACACAGTTTCCTGTGGGTGGTCGTGAATGGAAAACCTCTTGATCCTAGCCCCTGCTACCACGTGCTTGATTCCCCTGCTCAAATCCTGGAGAGGGAGCGAATGAACGCGTGAGCAGGTAAGTCCGATTGGCTCAGCTCCTCTTTTTTCCCCTGTAGGACACCCCCAAGGATGCTGCCCGTGTGGACCACTATCCTGGACCAGCTTTGGCCAGAGGGCCCGTCCCAGGTAGAAAACATGGCCTCGGTGGGCTGCGCTTGTGGCCAGGGCTGCGGGTGGGGAGGCAGCGTGGGTGGTGTCAGGGACAAGGCGCCGTGGCCCGAGGGGAGGCGCAGGAAGACACATGGGGCTGGCACTGAAGGATGGGTGTGCATTTGCCGGGATGAGGAGGCAGGGGGCATCCCAGGCACTTGGGCTTCAGCTGGGGCAACTTGGTGCCGAGTACAAACTGCAGGAGGGGCAGGGCTGCCCAGGGGACAGCAGCGAGGTCCCTGAGGACTCAAGGACTCGGTCTCCAGTCCCCTGCGGGCCGCTGAGGGGCTGGGGAGCTGGGAAGGCAGGTGGAGAGTGACGGGGGTGCAGGGAGAGCAGGTTGGGACATTGGAAGTTAGGCAATGGGAGGGAACGCTCGTCCCTCTCCTTGGCTCTGAATTCCCTGAGGCCAGAGTCTGGGCTGAATTCAACACTTGGCTGGAAGAAGGGGGCGAAGGGGGAAATGAGGGGGAGGAGGCTCCAGAGAAAGGGAAGTTTTGATGCACAGAGCACAGTCTGGTGAGGAGGTTTAACTGGGAGAACTCTCTTTGGAAAAGGATCCTATTTCCGAAGGCTTCTTGTCTTTGGCAGCCCTTACAAAGCAGATTCTGAGAATTATCCATGCTTGAGTAAGTCTCAAGGTAGTGAAATTACAATGATTAAAATAAAAACAATACCAAACTGCAAAGTAAGCATAGGGAAGTCCAGCAAAGCTTTGGCTTTGCCATTTTTTAAAATACCAGTTTCTTTCCAGAGAAACGTGCTAAGCTTGGCCTGTGTGTGCTGGGGCAGGAGGCCTGAGGATTTGCCTCGGGTTTGGGACTGAGGGCCAGCAGGTGGCTGGCGGCCGGCGTCCCTGTGTGGCCGGAGCGGGAGCAGCAGAGCCTGGGCTGTGAGTGCAGAGCGCACACATTCACGCACTGGAGCTGGATTCGGGTTGGCCCCTCTTGAGGTCGGGGAAGGCAGGACACGGGACAGACCTGTGGGCGACCTGACAGTGGCCACACATGGAGGTCGAGGCTGCAGCTGCCGAAGAAGGTGCCCAATCCCCCCCAGCGGAGGCCCCTCAGGCCTGACTCTATGAGGATGTATTAGTTAAGAAGAATCTGGAAGTGGGAGGGGTTTTGGTAAATAACTTTTCTTTGGAAACAAAGGAAGGTCGATGCATCTCGTTCTGTGGAAACCCAGGATGGCCAGGGCAAGGGTGAGGCTTCTGAGGTTAGTGGGGGTACTCTGGACAGTCTGACAAATGAGCACACTGCCTTGTGTTGACCCCTTCCCCTTCCTGAATTCAACACAAAGCAAGGAGGAAAGGTCCCAACATGAGACTTCAGATCCTGAGGGGAACATTATTCCCCCACCCTTAGTAACTGCTTAAACAAATATCTGAAATCTCGTTAAAAACTTTAAACCACCCCTGCCCCCGCCAGGCAGGGACAGCTGTGTTCGGATATTACGTTTCCTGTCCTCATGAGTGACACTGATCCTTTGTAAATAGTTCTTTATTATGAGTTTATATAGCGCTTGATACATAAAATATATTTTATTTAAAATAGTTAAACTATTTCCAGGCTGTAAGCAGCTTGTTCTGCTTCTTGCTAAAATCGTGTTCACATTCCAGCCCTCCGATGGGAGGAGACCACTACTCCACACAAACAGGAAGACCCAGTCAGTAGCTGAACGGCGTCCTTACCATAGTGCTAGCAACTTCTTTTCGGAATAAGGGAATGATTCTAGATAATCCTTGGTGAAAAATAAATGCTATTCTCTTAGGCCAGTAATAACGTGGGTTCCTAGATCCCAACTCCAGTTTGGCGTGTGGAAGTCACCACCCCTCGACCTCCTGCCCTGATTGCAAGAGCCACGGCATTCCAGAAAAGCTGCAAACCTCACGCCAGGCCCTGCTCGGCTCTCGGGCTGTCATGTGGCTGGCGGCCCTGTTCACAGACTTCTCGAGCACAGGTCTGGGCCTGCGGCACCTCATTCAAGCGCAGGGAGCCCGCCGCGGTGGAGAGGGCTCAGCGGTCCCACTCGTCGCCGGGACCCTGCTCCTCGCTGTCCTCCTCCTCCTCCGAGTCGGCGGACACTCTCTTGATTCTTTGGAGTGCCGCCTTGATACTTCTCTCCAGGTCGCTGGTTGGCTTGTTGCTGGGGCTCAGGCCGAGGCCGGAGTGAACTTTCTTCAGCTTGACCCCCCGCCGTATGGCGGCCAGAAGCTGCTCGTTGAAGGAGGCGTGGGGAGGGGTCAGAGCGGGCGCGTCCACCCTCTGCAGAGGGCTTGTGCCCCTCCTCCGGGAGGCCAACACTTCATCCATGGATCCTGAAATGGAGCAGACAGAGCAGGTCCGATCAGGAAACCGTACTGTCTCCGCCCAAGATGCCAGGACGCTCAGTCACACACCAGTCAATAACGCAATTTCAGCACATCGTCGTTCCATTACACAGATGCTTCGATTACCGGCCAGGAAGGCCAAGCCCAGGCTCCGTGTGAGCGCAGGGTCATCCCTCCTGCCAACCCCTGGCCGCCCCGTCCTCGAAGCCGCAGCAGCTCGGAGGCACGGTCACGCACACGTGTCCTCACAACGGCTGTTTTCAAGACACCGAGGTTATCTGTGTGCTCCTGAAGCCTGGGGGATCCCTGGGCTACGGATAATCTGACCCAGTGTGCGGGACAGCGGCACGCAGGCTCTGGAAATTGTATCTCCTCCAGTCTGCTTCCTACTCTTCAGAAAATCGTTTCCTACCGGGCACCCGCCGTGTTTCTCTGACTTCACTCTTGGGTGTGTCAGTGGTGACTCGTTCTGTGACAGTGACAGGAGGAGGTTTGCACACAGAGGCTGAACGGAAGCTCATCCATGACAGTGAGCCTGGAGGAGGCGGCGCTGGGACCTCTCCGCACGCACCGCCTTCGTTCCCCCCCCCTCGGGAGTTACCTGAGCCAACGGGCAGCTTCTACCTGGGAGCGTGCGAAATGCTGTCAAAACACAAATGAGATCAGAGTCTCAAGGCCTTGGTGAGGAGAAGCCATTTTTACTCAGGCACCTTGAGACCCCCGAGGGGGTAAAATCCGTGACCGCCTGCTGGAGATGGGGGCGGGGCTGTGGCCCCTAATGTAGAGATCTGGTGGGGGGGGGTGTCCTGCAGAAGGAGGAGGAGTTCCTGGTTTGGGATGGAGAAGCCAGGCGAGGACTGACAAAATACTATTTCATTTTAGATTTAAATCCATGATAGTTCCCTTCCAGGAGTAAGAAGACCAAGTGTCACACTCTGGGGCATTTTCAGGGGTTAAGTCACATCTTCTGATTCTTTGCAGTGAAATGAGGCGCTATGCGTGTGCTGAGTAGGGCCTCCCGACACCGCGTGTGCGTTAGCCCTGAGCTGGGATGAGCGCCCCCGCCCGAGGTCTGCCCACACCCAAACTGCAGGCCGAGGCGTGCATGCTCTTGCTCCTCATTCACACTATGTTGTTGCAAACCCCATGCAGATGGGCCGGTTGGTCTCCATCTAAGAGTGTGGCCATTTTCATTTGTACCTGCTTCTGGGTACGGTGAGACTGTGAATTCAGAATCACTGGAACCACAGTTTGGAACGGTTCCGTTTAGATGGTCCACACTGCCTACTGCAGCAGCCTTGCCCATCCTCAGTGGAGGCGCTCGGACACAGTCTTTGTAACAGAGGCCCACAGAATTCTGGGATTTATCTAACCCTCTCCCCCCTGCCCAAAGCAGCAGGCTCTGAGTCTGGGCAGAGGGATTTAAGCCAGTCTCCCCAAGAGTCAACGTATCAGCCATAATTAGAACTACAAGTCAGAGTGACAGCCCTCGTTCAGCAAAGAATATTCATGTGTATTCAGTGTATTGTACTTGCAAAGGCAAAATGGGGTCTGCTGGTTTTTTTGACCACTTCATTTTAGAAAGATCTTCCAAAATATGGATTCTCAGTCTACCAGTCTGTAAGAACAGCCTTCTGTATTCTAATGTTCCTCGACAATAATTCCCAACCAATGTTTAGCTTAAGATGCAGCAACTAAATTCTGTAAATAACTCAGAGATGCAACAGTAGGCTTAAGCAATACCGAGAAAAATCCCAGTGGCAGAAATCAAACGCATACTCGTGTCTTACGAACCTGAAACGGGGGATTCTTTAACAGCGACCCCAAGTCATGGGACCATTAAATGTACAGAGATTGTTTCCTCAAGATGAGTTAGTGTTAGCGTTTAGCAAACTCAGATTCAGCCTGTGCTAACTCTGCAATAAGAGAGCGATAACTTAAGGCAGCCAATGCTGGAGAATTTTAAGACTATAGGGAATTCTGCAAAAGATTCTGATTTGAGGGTGACTGCTCCTACAGCGAGAATGCTCCAGCCAGCCACTCGAGAACTGAGCGGGCACAGAACCCCAGCAGTTACCTGGGACTTCGAAACCGGCTGAGGAATAATGCGCTCTTCCAGCGGACGGCTCGGACGATTCGCACACCAGGGGACGTGGCTCATCGGCTGTTACTAGAGTCCTCAAGTGTAAGTTCTGGCGATTCGTGGACGGAGAAAAAGCAAAGGGCCGAGCAGGGAAGGGCGGCGGG